ACTAACTGAATAATTACAAGGGAAATAACTGAGCTGTTACAGGTTACAGATTACAGGTTTTATTATTTTGTCTATTAATTCATTCACGTACTTATATACACTTTTTCTTGGTTAATTGTTGTATGTAGATGATCTATACATGTATATATCATTTTTGTCCTACATGTCCAGTTATGTCTGTATAGGGGGCCCTTCTCGACAAGCTGTGCCTCTTAGTGGCCCCTCCACCTTTTTGTGGAAATAAAGTAAAGTAAAAAGTAAAGTAAAGCGTGTTAGCATTTGATAAAAGCGCCCGCGGTGAAATGGATAGTCAAAAACCACGCCACGAACTGCATGCAAGCCCTCCATGTAGTAGCCGAGCTGTTTGTGTCGTGGACTGTGCGCGCGCGCCACCGCAAGCGCCTTTGGAGCTTTGGCCATTTTCTAAGACTCAACTTCGGCTCCGTCTCAGACTTCAACTGTTTTTTTACTAGCTGACTTTGAAGCTTTAAACACAGTAATCAGTCTAATAGTGCCACAGAACATCAAATAAGATGCAAGAAAGCCAAAAATTACAGTAATCCAATGTAATTAAAACGCTTCAGGGCCACAGGGGATTGGTTTTGGGAACGAAGCTTAAGACGGAGACGAAGTTGAGTACTGGAAAACGGACTTTGTTTCCAGTGGTTATCTGAATTATTCAATATGCTAGTGTTATGAATTATTCACATTTCTCTGAACCAATCGTGTTTGGGGGCTAAGTAGTCCGAGTATATACTGTATGTCTTGGCATGTCTTGGCCACTTACGTTAATGAAGTCTTTGCACAACGGTGCGGCCTGGTATTTGAAACTCTTGCTATATCCACTTGGAAGATTGACAAATAAGTCTCGACCCTCCAGAACAGCCTTCACGGCCAACATTTGCTGTGGTTTCAGTTTGTCGATCGGAATCCCAAACTTCGGTGCTGCATATTTGAGGCAATTCTGAAAGAGATTGTAGTTTAGAGCTTACACCACTGCCGGAAAGGACGCCGTGTTGAATACGCCCGCCCATTGTAATGATGAATAATTTATTACATGTGCCACAGAGGCAATCGTTTGGTTGGTGGAGACACATAGCATACAGTGCTTATTAATATACGTTGGGTACGGGCAAACCGTTACATATAAAATGAGGCTTGTCGAACGCTGCAGTGTGTTTTCCAAGGCATTCTGGGAAAAAGGTCAAGTCCCCGCCACGGTCCATCATGTACGTCCATGCTTTAACAGTCCATCCGTGACGTCATTACACTCGGGCAGCCTCCAGAGACCCGTTCGCCAGCTGGGGTAGTAGTGGCTGACACCAGGGCAGGCACGAGGATCACGTGATGGCTAAACAAACGCTCTGGTGTAAGTTTGACTTACACGTGTAAGCTAATCGAACGCACCCAATATAAACGATACGTCTCCGATCCCAGAGTCCCCGGCAGGAAGTGGGTTAAATCAATCAAGGCAAGTTGAGTCGAATATTTAGCCCTGAATCCATTTTGAGACTGTGCAAGTCTCGGGCATTGATCGCGTCTATTCTTGAAACGTGCATTTAAAACCGGCCAAGCACATATTTATCTCTTATTGAAACACGCTGCTCAGATTTGACTTTTTTGGGGGATAGAAATATTGCTTAGCAAACATAGTTCAACCTATAGCTGAAAAGCTGAAAAGGGCTCCTGCTATGATTTACCTTAACTCACACAAAAAACTGAATCAAACCCTGTCCTGACGATGCTTTGTTACAACGACTACCTGTTTTTTTTTTTCAGATTCACTAAAGAAATGACTCGCTCACATCACACATAAAGGCACACACGCGTGAGCGCACACAATCCAGTCATCCGTAAAAAAAGCATCAAAGCTCTGTCTGGGTCAAAGTTCTTTGAGAATAACAGCTCAATGTACTTAATTGTGGGGGACGAGAACACCAGAGCGGCAAAGGAGTTAATTTATTTCCTAATGCAATTTCACAATGTTGTGAACAGTCTAGTGATGGATTATTGTTTACAAACTGAATAATGATTACTGGGACTTTGCTCTCGGTAAATTTATCTTTTTAACCGAAATGACGAGAAGTAAATCCGGCACGGAAGTCAGCATTTGGCGCTATTTGCATTTTAAATGGAATTGTACTTTAAACGGCAATTAATGTCAACCATATAGAACTGCAGCTAAGGAATTAACGGTAGAGTTGCGGTGTTTATTTTAAGCATATCATGTTCATTCAGTTGAGCTACTCCATGCAGAAATGAGATTTCCATCAATACACTCTCTGAGCATGTTTGCATTTTATACAACCAATTTGGGATCGACTGAAAACTGAAAGAGGCCACATTTGAGGTTTTCTCAGACCCATCGATATCTGAGGATGAACTATAACCTTCATCACTTTCATTGTCATTGTAAAGATCATTGTGTACTACTGTATTTTCAACAATTTGAGATTCAAACCTGTCATCTACCTCAGTTGACACCAACGGAGGATCACTTGGGTTCCCTGCTTTTTCCTCTGCCTTAACATTCAATGCAGGAACCAAGTTTTTTTTTTAATTTAAAACCCACAATACAGTTTTCTCGGCCTGGGTTCTAATTGTATTTACCTCTTCATTTCCATTATTATACTGGCACTGAATACACGGTAACCTCAGTTTAAACCACGCCGACAGCACATGCACTGCAATAGAGTTACATGCATTGATCGTCTCTTAATGCATGGAACCATGGAACCGGGAGTTAACCCCCAACTTCGGCGAGCGTTCAATAGGAGCCGGTAAATTGTGGCGTGTCTTCCTTTGTGACGAGGTCACTTATGAACCAGATACCAGCTAATTTTAGATCATGTATCCGGGTAGAAAAATTGGTTTGTGCATGATCAGGAGTCCAATTTTAAACGGTCGGTTTAGAGCGGCAGTGAACACAGTATTTACGAACTGGCATGTTTCGCTTGAAGATGTACTGCTCTTTTGGAAAAATTCAACTTTTCCAGACTCAGTTTCTTACAAACAGTGATGCAAACAGTGATAGCTACATACTTGTACTTCAATAAATCAAAGAAATGAATTATGAGTTTGTCAACCATATTATGATTCCATCAATTTTAATTTTTTTTGTTTGAGTGTCATTGGATATACCATTTTTTAGATAGTAATCGCAACATGTCAAACTGACCTCCGTCCTTGTCATCGACACTTGTTTTGAGCTCTTAGTCTGATTTTTAATCATAGTACTTCTGGAAATTTACACAAGGTAAACGCAGTGTTGAGCTAATCTGAACATGTTCTAACCACCAGTGTTTAGAAAAACATATTGTGTTTAATGTTTTTAACACAAAAATACATTTTACAAACGCGTCAAGTGTTCTCGGGTTTTACAGTGTACAAGTTTGAACGTCATCTTGCTTCGCACAACAAAAAACTAATGTGAATTGTCAACATCAACTGGTTTGGAATATCTCTAATAAGCTAATTGCCCATCCATCAATGATTCACCCGGTTTTTGCTTCCAAGCATAAAACTTTTCTCTGAGAGAATGAATAGATTCTTGAGAACCAAATCTTGCGCTCAAAATTGCGATGATCTTAGACAAATCTCTACGATATTCAGGAGGACTACAAACTACTTCTTCTCTGGCAACGCCTCCTAGATGGTCAAGAACTGCCATGCCTTTGCAACACTCTCAAGATGAAATTCTCTGCAATACGATTAAAACTCGTCCAACCAATCTGCCAGGGAAAGGTCCCCTGCATTTTTGGCTCGGCCACAAAATATTGGTAGGCTCACTAGTTTTGAGCACGTCAACTAGAGCCTTTATGAGGGCTTCTGCGGATACCATACTTTCTCATGAACAGACAACAGGTACCGTAAGATAATGTTACATGCGCACAGTAATCTAGTAACTAATTTACACAACAATGTTCGGTAATAATTTAAAAGATTATTTAGTACAGTGCTACTACTATTCAGCTGCAGCGAACCCCCACCACTAAACAGTAGGGGGAAAAAACAGTGACACTTTGTATCTTCAGAAAGGTGAAATAGTGACCAATGTTAAATGGTTTCTCATACACGAAAACCACAGAGAGAAATTGCCCAAGAGACTCCGTCGTATGTGAAGGTAACAGGTCGACAAGAATGATCACAATACAAAAGGGACCTGTCAGTCAATAAAAGCTCCACAAGAACAAATCAGGGAATATAAAGACACACATCCCTTTTAATGTTGGGTGGAAGCATGTAAATGTACTGGATTAAACACACCTAAAATACCAACAGCGTAGGCACAAAATGCTGTTTCATAAAGGGAAACCTTAATGTAAAAACTGTTTCCCACTTCAATACAAATACAGCAGAAAAAAGTGATGAGACTATGAGACTGACAAGGCCAGCCCATTGCCCTACATATAAACTATATATCAGATACACGAGTACAGAGCGAAAACAGAGATATGCAAAAATAAATTCCATTTCTACTACACGACAGTGCATAAATTTGCCGACACTTAAAAAGTACCAGTGCACCACTGACATACAAATTTATCAGTAAATCGTGGAAAAACTACCACGATGTATCACACAAGTCCACAAGTTAAGGGAGAAAACACATTAGGTCCTGCCTGGAATGATTCCAAAGAGCAAGAATGTCTCACCAGCGCACCAGAATTTGGCTGATGCTTCAGAAGACATCAAACTGACCTTGTGCTCAAATCAGCAACATCATAGGCCCTAAGACAGACATTCGGGAATAACAGAACTCAGAATGTTTGAGAACAACCCATCCTAAATTGTCCTCGACCTCCTGTCTACGACGCCACTTTCTGTAATGACAGGCCATCTATTAAGGATGTCCGCTTAAATTTTTCGTTTGAGGACGCCAAGGCAAAGGAAGACGGGCAGTGAATGAGTCCAAATGTAACTGTCTCAATTATACAGAGTTTTATTTACACGTCAGCTTTTGGGGGTTCACATGTCCAGCTATGATTACAATTAAATGATTCAAATCCTACGTTGCTTTATTTTCTTTTCATGAAATTCCATATTCCCCAAATTCCTCGAGCTCCAGGCAAGTGTGCGACCGTGGACTTGGCCTTCCAGACAGCGCTCTGTGGTGCCCACACTAGAAAGGAATGTATCACTCGCGCGCCCACCGCACTGTTCGCAACGCTTGAACACGCTTTTTGGACGTTACTATGAGGTCATCATTCATAAAATTACGAGTAAGTTAAGGTCAAATTTAAAAGAATTCATTTGTACAAAAAAACGAGAACAAATGTTACGTTCGTATTTTGAATCAGGTAGAAACCTTCACTGTAAAAACTGTGATGTTAAAATCAACACTTTCAACATTCAACAACACTTATCAAATGACCACACCATAGGGTGTTCCTTTAACACCGTTGGTGTTACTTTTCACACCTATAATTAGTGTTACAATACAGTAAAGGGTGTTGAAAGTAACACCAAACTTTTCAATACCAGCGAAAAGTGTTGGTGTAGTCCTCTGATAACCCCGGGGGTGTTAAATTTAACATCCCAGTTTTTGCAGAGTTGGAATACCTAAAAACGCAACAATCAAATCAAAAGGGACAGCAAAACAAATAAACTTACAAATTTCAAATGCAAATCAAATAAAATAACACCAATTGTATTTATTGTATATTTCTAACGAACAGTACCTTCAAAATATTTGACTCATTCCAACGCGTACTAAGTAGTGAAAAAATCAAAATTGATCAAAATTCGAATATCTTTGAACACGAGATGTTTTCTTTCTTAGCCTCTTCTTCTACAGCGAGCACTCGCTGAAGATCTAGGTCCATCAGTCTTGACCGATAATACCCGGCGAAGTTCTGATAGTGTGCTTCAATAAGTCGGGCACACTTTGCCCGTCCCCTGCCGGGAGCACACCATGTCTTGAGGTGGTTGTAAATGGCGCTGAAGTGTTGGAAGTTGGTAGTGTTTTCGTACATCTTGCAGTTAGCAGGAAGTGTGCCCACGTACCGCTTTGCGATGCAGAAACCTTGAAACATGAAATTGTATTTCTTGTGTGTTGCGACTTGTAGAAATCCGGGTTCTGTTTCGTTCCCTCTGATTTCAAATCCAGCAGGCACCTGGTGTTGGTTGTATTTTGCAAGGGATTGTTTCTTAACATCTATGTGCCAAGAGTAGCGGTTGTGCTCAAAGTAATAAGCATAGGTCAAAATGAGGTCACTTGGGCAGATTTTTTTGCCCTGTGGATAGATTTTGACAAAAGCATCTCCAAAACGAGAAACCTGTAGGAAAGGAAAGTGGAAATGTGTGATTCAAGTTCCGGAACAATTGTAAAAGTTTGTCATACAATACATGGTGTAGAGATAAATATAATAAAGTGACTTCCTATCAACAGTAGCATGTACGGTTTTTAAGATCAACCATTGGCAGCAAATTATCACGTTAGCTGCGTGTTGGTTGGCCTAGTTACTCAAGAAGGGTGCGTCCAATTAGTTTCCCCATGAATACACCAAATTATTCGAACAGATAGTGCAAGATGAGCCAACTCGAACGTCATATTCGTCTCCACCCAGAAATGTTTGAAACCTAATGTTAAAGCTTAGGTATACGGAAATTTCATTCTTTCAATCATGAACATGATGAAAGCGTGCTATCGACTCTTAAAGAGTTAGCGGGAGCGACATCAACTTTATTTAGTTAGCAGTGTCATGGGAATAACGCCGTTTATTAAAAAATACTTCATATAGGTGAAACATATATAACTCTGTAAAATTTAAGTCCTAGCTTACGTGCCGTCTTGCTGCCTCCATTGTGTAATAATGGCACATGCAGAGAGCTAGGGTGCCTGAGGATGACACCCGAAGCATACACGAGTATCACTTGATGGCTATTCAAACGCACTCATTTAACCCTTGCTTTGGGTAAGTTGAGAGCATCCATAGGGGAGAGTGGTAGGTCTTTCACGTGCTGCCTTGTATATCAATGATGTCAGCTGTTTAAATAATTATGGTCTATTTCAAAATGGTTTGTACACAGGGAGAGTGTTGGAAACACATAATCATGAACAAGAACGTTTCACATCAAAATGTTTATGTGTACATAAATGCTCATGTTTCCTGAAATAACTGCATAATTGGAGATTACAGTCAGTTAGTTTTTCCCGAGCCGAATCCTCTGCCAGCGTAATTTTAGGTAAGCCTAATGATGACAGTTTACACGATGTTTTGACAAACGTTGTTTATTTGGGCCTGCCATTGGCAACGTGCGCATACTGTCTAAATCGTGATATGCAAGACTTATAAAAGGCAGTCAGTACAACTTACAAATGACTTGATTCCTCTATCCCCTCCGATGATCCCTCTGATTAAAATCGCAAACAAGAACGAAGAGATAAGAAATATGTTATCTTACGTTTAAAGTTTTTAGAATGTGATTCCTGCAATTTGTAATCGTATCTCTCCAGAGGTAGATCGGAAAGTTGGGGAAGCGTGCAATCGTTTTCCAGCCGATTGCGGTTTTTACAGAATCACTGACGAGTCTTTCCCATCTAGTACCGACAAGAGGCACCCCAAGAACTCGTATTCTACCGCCATTGAAGATGTTCTCAGGGGTTACAGGCGAGAAGAACATATTATCCGTGTCAATCCAGGCAACGACGTCAGCGCTGACGTACATATCCGTGAAGAAGCTGCTCCAGAGTTGCCGGCAATACCCCATGGACCTCATCGTGCTGTGAAAGATCGTGTCCGCATCTGCTGGTAATGGCTCGTACGAGATATCGAACTGCATGCCGAGTGCTTGTTCGTGCCTGCGGAGCTTAGCTGCCAGTTGATGGTCCCTCTCCGACTCTGCGTCCAGTATTAAACTGATGGGGCCATACCTTGGAGACCAGAATAAAGCTGCAGATCGCAGAAGTACACAGTAAAGGAGACTGACAATTTTGGGAACAGCTGCCATGCGGATCGTAAGCGTCAGATTCTTGCTTTTGGTGAAACTCAGACCGGAGCCAAGTCCATTCTTAGTGGCAGCCATCTGGCGATTGTGGGGACTCGGCCGTATTAACTGAGGGCGAGGCACTAAGCGTTGAGAGGGCATGATCCAAAATTTACAACACACCAAGTATGATAATGCAATCATGAGGCAAACGACAAAATATTTCCTCGCCATTTCTGCCGCGGAGAACAAGTCGTGACTCTTGGATATTGACATGTACTAGTGCTAATGCCGAAATTCCACCCTGGCATATACTGCCCCTGATCTACGCGAGATTGCGTTGGTTTGCCAGGAACTGTATGTGAGCATCCTTTGTGAACCATTCCATAAATATCACAAAAGCGCATGCAGTGAGGCGACGGTATACACTGAATATGGGGGCACCATGGAAGTCAAACGATTCATAATGCACATGTCGAGGCTAACTTTTTGTGCTAAACAAACATTAATCGAGTTCATTGATCCGATGCATGATTCCCTGAAAGTTTATTGAGTTGTGGAGTCATACCATGTAGTTAAAATAGAACTACACCTGTACTGGTATACGACCAGTCCGCGGGAAAATGACGACACGCGTGGTTTACACGTAAGCAACGGCAACTTGAAGTATACGGGCTCCGATTTTCCATCTTGCGCCGCTGGGCGGCGCTATACAATTTTTGGTTACACTAGTTCCTCCATGTTCATGTACATGTACAACAGTACATGTACTTGATGTATTGTTGTTGTGGCGCGATATTCGTTCAAAACGAACTGCACTGCATGCACCACGGCCCGCAAATTTTTTTACATGTACATCCAGTGTGCACCAGATAGTGGAAACTGCAGCAGCAGATATCTCAATAAAGTTAACCATAATAAATTACACTGTGAGTGACCAGGGAGACCCTGCTGAGCTGAAAGTGTGAGTTTTCAATCTACTGCACCATAGTGCATGCTAGTGGCACCTGCCACTGCCAGACGGGTGCAGACCACTAATTCAAGCGAGAGTTTCTGGCCAGCTCATCAGCATTAAAATTGCACACCCCCACAGTATCTTTTGAAAAAGGAGATTGTTTGGCCTCCAAAGTGGTGAGATTGTGTAAATCCTTGTCAGGATCAACTTCCTGGGTCTTTGAGCTTTCATATGAGAGCAGAATGGCTAAAAACTACGGTTGAAAAATGGTCCTAAATGCCCGAGAAAGTTGAGGGTTGCCACTTGAAAAATGGCTGCAATCAGACTTCGGAAAGATCACTTTTTGGGAGGTGATTTTGTTTTGTGAGAATAATTAAAAATGTAATTTATTAACCCACAAGAAATTGAAAGGTAAGTGACCAGACACAAATTTCATTTGTGTTTCAGAAATCTCAGGGATGTTGGCGTGCATGTTATTGGGCCCTGAGCAGTGCTGATTTTACACTGTTTTCAATGGGGCTTGAATTAGTGGACTGTACCCACAAGACTTTGTCTAGGATTGGCATTCATTACCATTGGCATTAGCACCCTGTTCCTACAACAATAAAGGAACAAACTCTACTTTTTTGAAACAGTGTGTCAAAACAAGTTGTTGGTAAGGCCGTCTTTCATGTCAGAGAGAAAAGAGAATGGGGCTTTTGGAGTTTGAAGAAAATTTTGAGGACAGCGTACATGTTTATGTACAGGTACGGTACATTTCGCGCCCGAAAGAGATGTGAACAGTGACATTGTAGTTTGGTTCCTTGACATGGATGGAGATTTGTTTGATGATATCAAAATGCCTAAGTCGAGTAACCAGATGAGAAACAAAATGGTGTGATCCGACTGTCCAGAGATGGACCCCCGTTCTGTACAAAGCCCAACATGTACATGTAAATAAGATTAACTGGATTGTGGAACACC